TTAAGTTAGAGCTCTAATTATTAAATGAAGGAATTTCCGATAGAAAACTAGCACTTCCCTTTTAACGAATATACATACCAAATATATACCATTTTGTTATAAAAAAAAAAAACAAAGATGAAACAAATGATTAGAAAGAATTAGATTCAAGTGAATATGAAAATAGAAATGATGATGAGCAATATAAAAGGAAAAAGGTTGAGGAAAGTAGTAAAGGGGACTATCTAATAGTCATATATAATCATGTTCTTTGATATTGTCACTTATATATCCTTGTAACTGTAAATATTAGTGGATATAATGACACTTTTGCATTTATTAGTTTTTGTTCAAATAGTATAATTTTTTTCTTAATTAGAATTCGATTATTAATATTTAAAGTCGTTCTAAAATTAAGAATTATAATATTGAAATCTTAGCTACGCCTCTAGCTTCTGACAATCATAGTAAATGAAAGGAAAAATAGAAGTATAACTTACAGAAATTTCATACATTTAGAGGCTAATACATTCTATCCTGAAAGCTTTCTCTCAATTACAAAAATCACGGATTTATATTGCTCTCAGATATATTCCTTGATTGTCTGATACATTGCAAATGATACATTACTTAATGGGAGATGTATTCGAGAGGGGATAGAGATGTATCCGGGAGACGATTTTTGTAATATTTTTAAATGATAGAGAATTTTAGAGATTATGATATCTTAAATTGCATATTTATGTAATATTTTTCCAAAATAGAATATAAGCCCACCCATAGCAGCCCAATTATTGAATCTGATGGGCCATCTAAAGTCAAATCATGAGTTTGTACATAAGCCCAAATAGATAAAATTCACAAATAGTCATATTTTGCAATTGAAAAATAGACATTATTATTTGAGTTTCAAATTCAACAAGTGAAATAACAGGATACTGTCATGGAATTTCGCGTAAAAATTGAAACTCCATAATAATGATTATTTTTTTAAAGATAAAACTGAAAAATGGAGAGTTAACGCTATTTCTACAACCTAAGTTTATTTACACTTTTGTCTGATATGTCAAATTTCAAATATTCGAACTTTTAAAATTCCACGACAATAACTATTTTTTTTTTCAAAAGACAAGGTAAGAAAATAACAAGTTAACGCTATCCTTATGTTTGATGCTTTCAAATATATAATGGTCCTAAACTAAAAAAATTGGATGCATTCAAATCAAAGGTGGCATTATAAATATTTGACCACACAATTTATTGTAGGAAAAAATAATAATACCATTAGTCTATTTTGAATTTCTTTATGTTTGGTTCATAGAATATGCTTCTATTCATAATTAGCAAGTACTATTTGATTACATATTTTATTACTTTGAGTTTTTTATAAAAAAAATAATGATAATCAACAAGGATCTTTAAATTAAATATCCTGTCAATTTCACAAAAAGTTGTAGTTAATTTGTCCTGATAAGCAATAATATTATTGTACGTAGAGTTTAATTTTAGTCAACTTCAATTTATTAAAATCAGATGATGCTATGGAAGTTCATATTAAAAATTAAATTGATATCATTATTGACCACTAGCATTTTAAAACTTCTTTTTTAGATGTGGTCATCAATGAAAATTCAGAAAAGACCTACCTCACTAATTAGTAAATAGAAAGAATATGAAACTTAGAAAACTTAGATACCATTAGAAATGATGATATCCAGAGCAAGATGGGAGTGACCACGATTGAGGACAAGATGCGGGAAGTAAAATTGAGATGGTTCGAACAAAGTGAAGAAGAGATGCATCAGTAGTGTGAAGGTGTGAGAGGTTGACTATGAATAGTTTCACGTGAGATAGAGGTAAACTGAGGAAGTATTGGGGAGAGGTGATTAGTCAAGACATGACGCAATTTCGATTGACCGAGGACTTGACCTTAGATAAGAGGTTATATAGATCAGAGAGATAAGGGTAGAAGGTTAATTAACTAGTTGAGTATTGTCCTACTTATCCTTCCTTACTAGTTGTTGTATTATTATTCCGGCAGTATTCGGTCCTTGTTACTTATTTTTGTTTCTTGTACTTTGATTATCATATTGTTTTGTACTCCTTTCGTTTAAAAAAGAATGACCCAGTTTGACTTGGAACGGAGCTTAAGAAAAGAAAGAAGACTTTTTAATCTTGTGGTTCTAAATTAAAGTTATGTCAAATGTACCAAAATGCCCTTTAATTTTGTGGCCTTAAACATGTCACGTGGAAAGTTAAAGTTAAAGTGTTGCCAAGAAAAGAAAGGGGCCATTCTCTTTTAAACAGACTAAAAAGGAAACTAGGTCATTTTTTAAAAACAGAGGGAGTAATATTTAGTTCCTCTATTAGAATGCTTTGACATGCTTTTTTTAGTGATTGTCTTGACTTCTTCATTTCCGTCGCTTTGAAATACTTTCACTTGAGTCAAGGACTCTATCGGAAATAACCCCTTTAGCTAAATACAACAACAATGTAATCTCACAATAAAGTCGATCTGAGAAGAATAGAAATGTATGCAAACCTTCCCCTACCTCATTAGGTACAATGACCGTTTTCAATAAAACCCACACCTTATAATTACCAAAATTAATAAGTTGACATTTAAAGAAAAAATTATCAAATTTTATATTAAATTTGGAAAACCCTCCAAATATTGAATAGTATTAATTTTTTTTGTGAAATAGTCTTTAGCTAATACCCTCTAGCCGGCCAAGCCAGCCGGCCATCCTAATATCTATATAAATTCATGCAAATATCCCTCTTGAAATAATTTAAACAAATTATAAACTCAAAAAAAAAATCACAATTTATTTTTAATCAAAATTTCCTATATATATATATCTACAACAACAACATATCTCGTATAATTTCACACGTGAGGATCTGGAGAGGGTGGTGTGTACGTAGTTTTACCCCTATCTGGTGAAGGTAGGAAGACTGTTTCTGATAAATTATCGGAAAAAAAATGAGGCAAGCAGGGGCATATTCAGGAATTCTTTCAAGAAAAACAGGTCCACATTCATTGCCACTAGCAAGAATCAAGAAAATAATGAAGAAATCAAATGATGATGTAAAGATGATTTCTGGTGAAGCTCCAATTGTTTTTTCTAAGGCATGTGAATTATTCATTGAAGAATTAACAAAAAGGGCATGGATTATTATGACAAATAATAATATGCATGAAAAAAGAAGAAGTACTCTTCAAAAAGATGATGTTGCATCTGCTATTATAGCAACTGATGTTTTTGATTTTCTTGTTAATTTGGTTAGTACTACTCATGATAATAATTGTGAGTTGATGAATGAGGAGTCTCATCAAGATATAATGGAGGACATATGAAATTAATAGCCTTCATCTATATGTTCACTCTTTAAAAATATCAATTGGTGTATGTGTTAGATTCTTCAAAAAGAATACGTGTACGACAACATTTTAAGAGTGTACAAGCAATATAGGTAAAGATAGGCTACATATGTTTGATTAAGTTGAGTTCATTTGTGTGTCCAATTAACAAAAGTATGTGTACCATTAATACTAGTTTTCAAGATTTTAACATATCTTGTATCGTGTCCTTTTTTATTTTACGTGACACTATTTCTTTGTTTTGGAAAAATGACTTTATTATAGTTTAAATAAAAAAAATTGATTCATAATTTGCAATTTACCATTACACTCATGAGTCATGATGATAAAAGTGAGTTGAATGAGGATTTTCATAAAGTTATAATGGAGAAATAGAGGGTAGGAAATACATAATTAGCTTATGTTGTTCAGACTCTTCAAAAAATATTAACGGATATGTCACAAAATTTTCAGAAATAATATATTTTTGAAGAACTCGACAATGCGACAATATTTATATGTATATCTAATAAGTATCGTGTACCAATATTTTTCAATTTTATGTGACTATTTCTTATATTATAACATATTTAAGATTAGAGATTTTGATAGTCTTATAACATGCAAAATGTCAAGGCATGTTTAAGACTCACAAATTTTAAAAGTATTTTATTTCTTAAACTTGATCAAACAAATTAAATAGAGTATATATTAAATTGTGGTACGAAATGAAACAAACAGGTTTCGTGGTGTAGTTGGTTATCACGTCAGTCTAACACACTGAAGGTCCCCGGTTCGAGCCCGGGCGAAGCCATTCTTCTTTTGAACTCTCTTTGTTTCTCGTCGAGATCCGCGTTTTCAGTGTTTGAATTCGAGACCTCTAGTTTTAGAATAAGGCTTATAAAATGGGGGAACCATTCCCTTTCCCTGTGGTTGAATTCGAGACATAGTTCATAGATAGATCTTCTCGAGAACATATAGCATAAGTACATAACATAATCGTTGGTTCTTTATTCAAAGTCAAATCTCTCTATAACCGTGTCTGTTGATGGGATACTTTTCAACTGTTATAGCAAAATATAATAATGGAGAACATAAATATAACATAATCGATTCCACAAGAAACTTGACCATTATACCTAAATATTGTTATAGAGAAGTTTTACTGACTAATTTGAACCTGAACAGAGGTTTTGCTGGTAGGAACATTAGATCATAATCATAATATACTAAAAGTGAGAAGCTCCTAACATTAAAGTTAAAAGTACAAAATATCCGCCATACCAATATCCACTGGAAAATATACATTCTAATACTTGCAACAACATATTCAGTATAATCCTCCAAGTGGGGTCTACGAAAGATAGAGTGTACCCTTACCTTGAGAGATAAAGAGATTGTTTTAGATAGATCTCGACTCTTCTGATACATACAAATAAAGCTACAAGTATTATTATGAACTATGTTGCTCGGACTATCAAAAAATTATTGTTGCAACCCGTGTTGGATTCTTCAAAAGTGCATTATCAAATACCGGATGAAAACACAAATGCATCATTTACAGCTAAATATTGAATTGACAGAGAATACATCAACATGAACCTGCACAATGCACACAGTAAAATTGACAGAGAATTCATATAGTCGACCACAACTCGTTTGATATTGAAGCGTAATCGATTGTTGTTTAAGCGTATTACATCGATGCTTAAACATAACGCACTTACTAGCAAGTAAATAAGCTCCTAATTTATTGATATCAAAGGCAAAACAATAAAATTAATACCATTTTCGTTCAAAATAGAACGCAGTTTAGGTCATTTCTTTTCTCCGTTTCTGCTGTTCTAACTTCCGACTCTGCTAATTCGGTATCAGACCCTTACCATCCGTTCGTTTTCTCCACGGTCACTCTCTTCGTATTATTTATTATTACGTTTTGATTGGTTATTCAACTTTGTTTGTACAAGATTGAATTGCAGATTTCATTTCCTCTTTACTCAATGATGTCTCCACTATCACCTGCACAAAACAATGTCCAAATAGCACCAATTAGTATTGGCATATAAAAGAATTACATACATCTCCGGTTGCTTAGTACTGAGGCGGAATACATCGACAACTACTTACATTTTTCTACTTAATAGGCGCTTGAGAACATGTGTAGAAACTTTTTCAAAACTTGAACCGGAAGTATCTAATAAGAACATTTTATCATGTGTATAGGTGATCAATCATCACAAACCATAGTTCGAGTATCTAAATGGAGTTACAAGTTGGAAAACATATAATGAAATGACAGAATGAAGTCTACGAATGGGCAAGTTATAGCCAGGTATAGGTAAACCTTGAGGTTGTTACAGACGTTCAACTAGCATTGAGTGGTCCGAGTTTCTTGATACTGCAAAGATCTCACATTGATGGTGGCGTTTGTGTGGATCACCTAAATCAGTGTCCAAATTTACCTCAATCAATCATCTAATACATAATTTCCTGGTTCTAAGTATCACATCGAAAATGTTTAACCCCTCCGCTCCAAATATTTAACAAGAAAAACCAACATAACCAAGAATGAAGAAAAAGGTTTTATTTCTCTTCTTTTTCCAGGATTTAATGATGATACGTCAACCACCACCGATACCGCCAGGAATCTGTACTAGAAATTCCCTGAGAAGCTCATGACTAATCGAGCTCGATTGCAGCTCAATATAACCTGTCTTTTCTTTCTTCACAGTTCTTCAATATCAATGGTCTCCACTCTCCAACTGTGTCTAATTGTGGTATTCTTTTTTTTTTAATTAATCATAAGTGTCCGGACACGTTTGCATTCCCCTCAACTAATTCTATGGGTAGCTGCTATCTCCCACTAGCACTAGTACCGGGTAACTCTGTCCACTGAGGTTTGGACAAATACTTGAAGAAATCATCCAGTATTTTTGCATCCATTTGGATTTGATCCTGAGACCTCATGGTTCTCAACCTTCATTGACCATTAGGCCACACCCTCGGTGTTAGATTATAGAATTTCATTCTCGCGAAAAGGTGATAAGTTACCCAAGAAGTTTGTCAGACTACAACACGTCAAGCATTTTGGACTTCCGGAAATCATAGAAGCTCCAATTAAATACTAGATTGATATGAACAGGAAAATTAAACATTTTAATCATGATTTCACGACACCGCTTTCAAAACTGCAACTTTACCCTTCTTTTGCAGAAACAGCACTGACAGATATAAAATAATGACGAAACAATAGGGCAAAATAAGGAGGACTTTAAAATTTTACCTCTTGTACTCTATTTCCCGACCGCGCAAGTAACTTGTATTGATTCTCAAACATGGATGCCATATAAACCTGATAGAAAATCAATGATTAAAATCTTCCAAAAAACAATAAAGCCAGCAATCCACAGTTGAATGCACTACATTTTACATGCTTTGAGTGTGAACCTATCAACATAATGCATTGCTGTAAGTATTGCGCCTAAAAATGTGCCACAAAATTAAATTTTAAGTAGCAAAAGAGAATGTTATGCGGAAAGAAGGTTTTATCTCATTCTATGTGAAAACAATCTCAGAAAAAGCTGTGACTCATGCTTAGTCAAATGAAAGGAGGTGATGCCAGTGTTATCAAAGGCGCGCTTAAGCCCTGAAGCGAGGCTCAAAACGTGTTGAGCGCTTCGCCTCGCTTTACGTGCACTTCAGTGTCGTCATCAAGGTTCTAAAGCAAGTTTTTCCTTGCCAATGAGCCTTTTATGAAGAAGTGAAACTAAATAATTGATATTTCACTTAACCATAATTTTTTTTCAATTTCCTTGGTCATATATTTGTCATTCATGTTTATAATTATTAGTCTTGGACTAAACATATATATTTGTATTCTTTTCTCCCTTTGCGCCTTTTTTCATTAAAGTCCACGCTTTATTGCGCTTAAAGTCCCCATGGACCTTAGAGCTTTTTGCGCTTTTCGCCTTTGATAACACTGGGTGATGCAGTTTTACAATCTCATAAATAGCTTGTACAATGGCCACACTAGAACTACTTCCCATAACTACAAAATAAACGCCTGCAAAGTGTTCTTCTTGGTTGTTTAGCAGTGAGTGAACTAGTCAATTTTTTAGTTTCCATATCTTTTAGTTATATTGCTTATTTTTTCTGTAAGGTGATACCTGAAATGTTGGAGCCAAACCAGGGCTCAAGAAGTACCGCCCTTTTGATACAGAGGAGATACCCTCGAACTGCTGTAATTCTTTGATTAGAGATTCCACGTCAGGCCACTGCACAACAATGCAAGAAAGTTCTACTATCAGCCATGGACAAACGCAATTGTATATTACAATCGAAGATCAGATTCATTAATGATTTCATATTTTTGTACTTCAAGAAAACACCCTACAATTGATTTGAGTTGTAAAGGTTTATAGTATATCGGGAAGCACAAAGGACAGCTAGCAGAAAAGGATGGTTTATAGACACATTAAGAACTGAGAAGCTTCGGATTTTTCCCCTTACTAAACCAAACCAAAGCTATGGGTGCTTGTCTCAAGCTTTTGAAATGTAATTTTAACATATTCACAAGATATTAACATTCAGCAGTAGATTCAAGCTATATTGCTCGGATTCTTCAAAAATGCCACCAGGTGCGAGGTCAGATCCTCCAAAAGTAGTGCATTTTTGAAGGATCTAACATGGGTGCGGCATCATATTTGGAGAGTCCAAGCAACATATTCAAGATATTTACTCAATTTCAACCCCACCTGCCCATTTGACACCCCTACATATCTGCAGTCTTTAAGGGGAACTGACCTCACCACAAGCCATATTAGGATACATGGAACACCTAGTACTTCATTAATATAGTAGAAAAGGCATAATACAAAAACATACACTCAAATTTGGCCTCAATTGGCAAGTAAGCACTTCAACTTTGAAAGTGCACATCTAGACACCTCAACTTGGTTTCAACGGGCAACTAAACACTCCAACTCGTCCCTACTGTGTCTCGTGGACTCCCAAAGCTGACGTGACACATAAATTTTGGAGGTGAGAAAAGATCATTTTGTGAGTTGGAGCATTCAACTAACACAATTGAGACAAATTGAGGTGTCTAGATGTGCTCAAAGTTGGAGTGTTTATTTGTCAATTGAGGCAAAGTCAAATTATCTATTTATGTATTATGCCTAAAGAAAAGGCCCCAAGAAAATGCAGAAAATTCTTTATACAGTGCATTGTTTAAATCCGAAAGAATTCTATTAAGAAACATCCTCCTAACTGCCGTCAATGAAGACCCTGACGTGGCACATAAATTTTGGAGGTGTGAAGAAATCATTTTGTAAGTTGGAGTGTACAACTGACACAGTGGAGACAAATTGAGGTGTCTAGATGTGCTCAAAGTTGGAGTGTTTAGTTGTCAATTGAGGCCAAGTTAAAGTATCGATCTATGTACTATGCCTAAAGAAAAGGCCCCAAGAAAATGCAGCAAATTCTTTATACAGTACATCGTTTAAACCCGAATGAATTCTATTAAGAAACATCCTCCTAACTGTCATCAATGAAGACCCTGACCAAATGCTAAAATGATACTCCAGTTGTTGAGTTATGAACCCACTGGCCAGTAGAGTAGGGATAGCAAGTGCTCCCTTTTTCTTACCAATGACGTAAAGAAATCTATTTGCAATAAATGTAAGGAATCATGACATAAGTATCAACAAATACTACATTAGTTATGTATGCAATTCATTGCTGAGATGATAAAATTTAAGTATTCTTTTAACCGAAATTGAGGACAACCATGACGTATTGATCTAAGGTGTCTTTGGTAAATTGAATCAAGTTCTAAAGGAATAAAACTACTCAATTGCAAGGGTGAGAACATAAACCTCAGTATCCAGCTCTGATGCTTGGAGTTCTCCATTCAAATTATCATGATCACCAACTACAGCCTCCAAGGCCTCCATCATGGGATCTGGCTGCAGAAAGTACTTATAAAGGCATGGTCAATATCAATCTTACCTTACAATATCAGGAAAAAAAAAAAAGACAGTACCGTTATTTCCTTAACAACAACATACAGAGTGTAATCCCACAAGCAGGGTCTGGCGAGGGTAGTATGTACGCTGACCTTACCCATTTGGGCAATATGTATCCCGCTGGGTATGGCTCGTAGTAAACCTCTGTAAGATAAGGAGGATCCTAGGGTAGTCTGTCTTAATAAGCGGATTCCGATTCATGCAGTCCTTCTCTGCTGCATTGGTCTTTTCACTCCCCACTCTCCACCATAAAAAAATCTTTCCACTATATCTCAGGAGTAGTCAAAGGAAGTACGGCGGGTCCGAGTAGGAATAAATTGACTAAGAAGTAGGGCATACAACAATGGATCAATTCATTCAACAAGATCTGTTCGGATCAGACCAAAGGGGTAGAGAGCCTGTTTCTGACCCTTGACTCAAAAGGAATGTTATTGTATCAGGATGGGAAGAAATTTACCGTTATTTCCTTCAACGACAGGAAGATGCGCTCAAGTGAAAAGTCTAACTGGTGAACTTTTGCCTCCACAATCTACACGGAAAACTTTCTTCAGAAACTAAGATATCTCTAAAATTGTTAGCTCTGAAATTACCAGCGAACGTATTATGCGCTTAACCTCCAATACATTCACATGAACAACATATTCAACAAACTCTGAACCAGCATGGATATATCATAACTCAAAACACTATACTTGTCTATAAGGATCAGTTAAATTTCATTTCACTTTTACATCAGAAGGTATGAATTACAAATTTGTTATGCATATTTATAGAGAAGCAACTACCTGGCCAATTTTAAAATATGACGCAGGGTCTAAAGTGGCATCCCATGAGACTTCTGTCTGGTGAATTAGCGCAAGTACTCCTTCAACCTATATTCAAATGTTGCAAATTTAAGATGTAATCAATAGTTGATTGGAGTTACTGCCATAAGAAGCTCATGCTACTGTCATTGATATACCTCGACAAATATACCGAAGTAGGTAATTTTTTGTATACAACATTTTACCACGTCCCCAACCTGAAGTTTTGCCTGCAATGCCAATTACACAAGCTCGGTGACTTCATTGTGGGAGCAAGATTCAGAATAACTAACACTGAGAGGTAGCATACAATAATTATCCAAAATACATTGGTAAAAATGCATATATTCCAGCTTCTTTCCAAACCCAAACAACAAGTCCCTTATTTTGGGGGATGAGAGGAAGGGGATGGGTTTTCAATGACCAACTTCATTTCAAAAGTGGAAGATGTCGATATCCCATATCTAACACAGAGAAAGTCTCCATAACTTGTTATATATCAAAATTTCACCAGGATTACAGGAAAAGCATATAAAGCACACTGATAAAGTGCCTAAATCCATACACAATAGCCTATTAAGCAGCAACCACGAGTGTTTTCTGTTCCTGATGAAGAGCCACATGAAAACTAAAGCAGAGAGCAGGGGCAGCAAAAAGAGCAAGGTAGGGCACTTGAAATAATAAATATAAACTTCAAAACTGCTGCATCAGAAGATCAAATAGGTGTCCTAGATTTGACATTTTACAGAATCTTCTTCTAAGTGCTGGATTTCGGAATATTTCACAAACTATCTCTAGATTAAAAGCTCCACAAGTTAAAGAAAATCAATAACTCGACAAATTATAGTGACCTAGAGTAATTGTTAAGTTGCAGAAAAATGACCCAAGCAAACGTTTCAAAGTTGTGTTTTATAAAAGTAACAATGGTTTATTGTCCAAGAGATAATATACTACGAGTTTTTGGTGAAACATGGCAGCATAGCCACCAAAAATTCACAGTGCTACACCTTACTCACTGTGAACATTAAAGAACAAACAACTTGCTGCATCATTTATATGAAACACAATATTTCCAATCAAGTAACATGCATCCGATCAACATATATATTACTACTTTTGTTTTTATGGAGAAAGCTCTAGCATAACATGTACATTTGTTCAACCAATACCTAATTGCTATTTTCTGGAATTGCTCTAAGCTAATTTACAAGAGAAAAAAAAAAACTAGCCTTTCATCAGTAAACATCTCTTTCTGTTAACAGACTAGGCAATGCATAAGGAGATGGGAAAGAAGGAAACTGGTCGTATGTATGAAGGCAAACAGAAATGTTGAAGAGAATGACAAAGTATTAACTAAGAAACTTCTTGTTGTCATCCCTCTATTATCTTATCAACAGTGAGACCAAACTTATGTCCTTCTACAAAGGTTCCTATCTATTTACTAGATATCTTTTCTGAACAATATAGAACAAGGAGAAAGAAGTTAGGTTGGATATCTTGCAGTCAGTTACAATATTCATGATCAGTTTAACATAGAAAACCAAATACCAAATTCCATAGAAGCTAGGATGTTTGTGAGATGGTCAGTTTGATAAAGATTAAGCAAAAAAATTGCAAGCTTTAGAGAATGTAATTTTCTTACCATAAGGCTCCTCTTCTTCTCGACCAATTCTTCCTTTTCTTTTGCCTTTATCGAGAATATTAGCCTTCTGGAATATCTGTCAGCCAACACCACACTTACTCTGATCCTCTACATGACACAGATCACAAATTATGGTCTTTCTCAAAGTTCTAAGATTGAGATTAAATAACGAAGCCCTCCTCACCAGACCAACAAATGATGATAAGAACTTGAGTTTCTCTTGGTCATAAATCCTGAGAAGATCTTCAAGTTTCATATCTGGCGAGATCTCCTCATCGGCATTTTTAGCAATTTGCAGATCTACTCCTGCCTCAGGAGAAGCTGCCTTGCCAAAACCATCATAGCCTCCAACGATCCCCAGACCTTGCTTGTACTGGGATGGATCCAAACCTTTTTGCCTCAACCAAGATTCAAAAGCTAAGAATTTCCACCTGGCTGCAAGATTGCGATATGGCAAAAATCCTATCAAGGAACCAAAGGATACCTGTAAAAAGACGTTGAGAGTATCCGTAAGAAATAAGTTGAGAGCAGATGTGCACCTTCAAAAACAAAAATAAAGTAATATGATGAGCTGCGATAGTAAGTAGACTTACAACAAAGCCTCTGGTGCTACAGCTGACTAGTTCGACATCCTCTCTTCCTCCACTCTTAACAAGCTCTTCAGCTCTTATCCAGTCATTATCTTCATGTTCCTACGAGATTGCAGCACTCAGTATTCATCAATACATTCGTCCTAGTTAAGGAACGGATGCTGAAAAAGGAAAAAATTAATCTACCTTAATGGATGATTTTGCCAGGAAGTTTTCAATCTCTGAAGCATTTCCATAGCCCTCAGATTTGACAGGACGCATATCCTCCTGACTAACACTTGATGCTTCCTTTTTAGATTGGTCTAATCTATAGTAGCACAAGTTATTAATCAAGAACAAAATAACAGCAAAGTATATAAGGGCAAAACAACGTCCACAAGTACCTTTTCGGTTTTCCAAGAAGAGCAGCATCCAAAGATTCCATGGGTCCAGTATCAAAGGGTGTATTGGAATCAGAACTTCTCTCAGCAGGCTGTGTATCACTCTGCTGGAATCCTTGAAAAACAACCAAGTACGCTGATTAAGATGCTAAATTACCACTTAGATGACTATCTGTCAAGAACAGAATCTTGTTACCTGTACCAAAGCCTTGCTTCTCAAGAGGATTGCTTCTGCTAGGTTGTAACGGTTGGTGGAGTTTATTCTCTGCCATACTTATAAGCTCAGAAGAAGAGTTAGTACTTTCATCCGAAATACTAGGATGCTGAGCCTCGGCAGATTCTTGATTTGGATCTATCTTTAGATTTAAATTACTAGGCTCTGGCTTATTTAGAAGCAAGCTGTTTTTGGGTTCACTAGTTGATGCATACACCTCTGTAAGACTAGCATCTATGGAGTCATCACTAGATACAGGCAAGACATCGCTTGATTGTCCATTTTTTTCACTATTGCCAGAGTTGATTCTCATTGGCTCCGGCTTCTTCAACAATGTAGCATCACTAGACTTATCACTTGATTGTCCATTCTTTTCACTATCGTCGGAGCTGATCCTCATTGGTTCTGGCTTCTTCAACAATGTAACATCACTAAACTTCTCAGGTTTCAGTTCTTTGCCCATTTTCAGTGTCAAGTTTGGCTTAATTTTGAATTTTGATGATTCATCCTCCTCAGAATACAAACTTGGTTTTCGCAATATGACATTTGGAACACTACTTTTTCTACTTACTTCAGGTTTTGAAATTGGTTGGCTTTGTTTATAACCCTCAGTTTTTGGCGGTTTTTCATCAACCTCGAACTTAACACCCTTCTTGGGCACAGGACGAACCAAATTTAATCCATTTGATGAATTGAGAGATTTCTTTTGCTTGGATGCATCAAACGGAACCTCCACAATTTCACCGGATGTTTTTCCCTTCTTCTGGTCAAATGACTCTTCAATTTCAAGATAAGATGTCTCCGGGTTTGTTTTCCTACTAATTATCTATGAAATCAAGAATCACAATCAGAAATAGACAGATGCATACAGCATTGAACCAACAGAAGTTTTGCAAGGACATACAGGAACCAATCTAAGAACTTCTTTCAAATTACTATTAACCTTTTTCTCCTCTTCAATGGCAAATAACTATAAGCAATTAGCAAATAGGAACATACAATAGTAAAGCAGGGACGTTTAACTTTGGCACGAAAGACTGAAATTTTAAAAAATTGAAGTTACACATAAAGTCAATACTAATAAACTGATAACATGTTAGCAGATATCAACTTAAAATATATGATTGTACAATTCCAGATGCAGGATTGATTTTTTTTTCCCCTTTAATAACCCTCATTTTGCTGTTAACCAAAGCAAAGTATAAAACTTTCGAGGGCTAGAACTCTCCATTCTCACCAACAGGGAGGAAAATCACTCAACTCCTCAAATTTGAATTGCATTGATTTCGGAAAGTTTCTTTTATCTATACTATCAACCATGTCTCAATCCTAAACTAGTTTTCGTGTCGGATCATACAACTCAAATTCGAATTGTATTAATTCAAAAAATTTCTTAACTATCTATACTATCAACTATGTCATAATCCTAAACTAGTCTTCGCGACCGCTATATAAATCGTAAAACTCAAATTGAAATTGCGTTGTTTCGAAAAATCTCTTGACTATTGATACTATCAACTATGTCTCAATTCTAGATGCAGGTGTAGTTCTCTTTTCCTCTAGAATCCTCATTGTGTTGGTAAACAAAATCAAAGTTTAAAACTTTAGAGGGGATAAAACTCCCCACTCTCAACACACACGTAGAAAAGCCACTGAACTCCTCAAAATTCAATTTTGCAATCATTCAAAACGTCTCTCAACTATAGACTACCAACTGTATGTCAGCAATATGAATCCTACATATCCCCTCACTCACAAGTTAATTGACACTATTTCTTTATCAAACGACGGACAGATTTCTATATTTGAAATCAATAATGACAAGCTTTCTATAGTCATACAAATGATATGACATGTTATAGCCATGCAATGTCACATAAATTGGAACAGAGTGAGTAACTAATTTCTTAACTAAGCAAAGAAAAATTATAAAACCAATTAAGAACATAATTTTCTGAATAAATAAGGAAAAAAACAATGAATATATTAGTGCAAGTTTAAATGAGAGAAATAAACCTTAGCTAAGGTTAATTTTGGGTCTTCACCAATTAATCTGCCAAACTTCAGTTCCATTTGGTCCCACTGGTCAAGCTTATTACTATTCCTATCATCTTTAGAAGCAAAAACAGCAAATTTCTTAGTCTTTCTGGAGAAAAAAACAGTTCTTGACAAAACCCCACTTGTTATTGAGCTTAAATTATCATCTTTAGAGGCAAAAACAGCAACTTTTTTGGGGTAAAAATTAGTTCTTGACAAAACCCCACTTGCTATTGAACTTGAATTGTCATCTTTATCAGCAAAAACAGTAACTTTTTTGGAGGAAAAATGAGTTTTTGACAAAAACCCACTAGTTATTGAGGTTGAATTATCATTTTTATCAGCAAAAACAAGAACTTTTCTGGGAAAACAAAGGGATTTTGAGATTCTTGAATGGTGTAGAGATGAAATTGACAAGAAGGGGTTGGGTGTTGAGGTTTTGTCAAGGCTAAGGTTGTTCATTCTTGAAAAAACAAAGTGAATTTCATCAGATAATATTGAATAGCATTGAAAAATTTATATATGGGGTCTCTTTGCACTGCACCTCAAAATCCCAATTTATCCTCTCTTGAGTTATTTGAAATTGAGATGGTGAGAGTTTTACAATTGGTGGTGTAGGGGTAAAGGGGGAGTCACGTGATTAGCACGTGATGTTGTATAATGTGGTTTTAAATCTCTTCGTGGTTCGCGGGAACTCATTAACTTTTGTGCATATAGTGTAATGTATAGTAAGAAACTCACTAAATATCTATAAATATTTGATTAGTGGTGTCAGATTTGAGTTTTGAGAATTCAGAATCTTATAGTAGGAGAGTGGATTTCACGAAATTTATATCGACCGTCAGACTCAAATGAAGGTTGAAGGACCTTTGGATTCATTATCAACGACATAGGTGACACCCTAGCCCGACGCCGTTGTTGGTAGGACTGTGACTCTTATTTCAGTTTAATTCCTTATTTTGATTAGTAATGTCGGTAGGTTTAATTTAAATTTTGAAAAATGAAGAACCTTTCAATAGGACGGCGAGTCTCACGAGATTTATGTTGGTCGATGGAATCAAACGAAGGTCGAAGGACCATTCGATTTAAGGGCATATCATCACTCATGTTGGCATGGATTGTGACTCTCCTCTCAATCCAATTCCTTATTTGACTAGTGATGTCAAGTTCAAGTTTTGAGAATTAAGAACCTTTCAATAGGAGGCCTGGTCTCACGAGATCTATGTTGTCCATGAAGTCAAACGAAGGTCGAAGGGCCATTCAATTCATTAAGGAGCATAGTAGCGCCTTCACCCGCGAATGCCATTCTCGGCAGGATCGTGAGTCTCCTCTCAATCCAATTTCTTATAACTTGACCCTCAAAACTCACTATATATCAAGTACTCTACTTACATCTTTAGTGTGTTATGGGCCTATCAGTATTTGACCCGAATTTGAATTAATCATGCCATATGATTAAACCAAAAAAGAAGAAGAAGGAAATAGTAAGAGAACAATGTGTTAATTTGTTATTAAAGCAAATTGAGGAAAAAAACATTACAAATATATATGATGCCTTACTAGGCTTTTACAAAAATTTCAAATGAAGAAACAGATAATTAAGAAAACCAATTAATCATCACTTCACCACACCATATTCTCTCATCAAGAATATGATTAATCTCATTGACAATAATATAATATTAACTATATATATTTTTGTCCATTTTGGGTCTGATTAAATATGGATTCGTATCGAAAATTCAAGGACTAATCTTGAGTCTCTTCAACAGGAGGCTGTGGTGGCTCATCAACATCAGTAGTAGTAGTAGTTGTTGAACCTTCTTCTTGTTCATCAACACTATGATTTTTTTTATTTGTAGCTGTTGTAAGATGATTATAGGAACCTTTTTCTTTGAACAATTGAGAAAAATGAGGCTTGCAATAAACAAGTCCATCTAATGCTGCATATGATGATGTTGTAAGTTTGCATCCACCATGTGCACATTTGAAGCATGATTGATGGTAAAATTCTCCATCTACTGTCACCTGTTTTTATCAATCAATCATATCTATATATATATATATATATATATGGAAAAAGGACAAATATATCTCCGAACTATCATAAATGATATGCATATACCCTCTATTATACTTTTGGGACATTGATGACTCTGCCATCCAAAAACTAGAGCATATATGCCCTTCACACTAACAGAAGACTAAATAGGGACACGTGGCACAATCTTATCCGTCGATCTAATATTTAATAAATGTCAGGTTGGTGGATATAAGATTATGACACGTGTATGTTTGTTAGTATATATGCTCTAGTTTTTGGACGTCAAGGGCACCAATGTCCCAAAAGTATGACGGAGGGTATCTGCATATCATTTACGATAGTTCGGGTATATTTGTCACATATAAATTATGATTAAAATCTTAATTAGATGTTGTAAAGATGACAAAATCGATATAAGTTGCTAGTACTTTTCAAAAATATTTGCATGCTCATGTTGGATTATTCAAAAATATATACTACTATTTTTGAAAAATTCGATATGCATGTATTGGCGTTTTTAAAGAGTTCGAGTAGTATTTAGGTATCTCTTCCCCTTTAATTGAAAGAAATAATCTCTCAATATTAAGCTATATTATATCCACCTGAATGAAACTATATTGGTTGAGTAGGTCTAGGTCCAACAACCAGAATAATTATTAGTTAAGCTTAATTAGTTTTAGAACATACCACAACATAACTAAATACTTTTTTTTTTTGTTAAATTATTTGATATTGAAAATTCACATGCCTGATTATTTCAGTTTCGCGTGAATAAGCTTACTAAAGAATTTAAGCGCGTCCTACTAAAAAGTTTTTCATTCTCGAGACTCGAAAAAAGAATTCTTACCTTTTCCAATGGGTACACAGTTTTCTTGCATGATGCACATTTTTCCTGAGTGCCAGAAAATAGAGAGGACAATTTGCTAGGGCTTCTGTTCTGTAATCACAAAAATATTCAAAATATGATATATATAATTAGTAACAGATTAATCATTTTAACAAATAAAAACATGAAAGCGATATAAGTTAAAATATTGTTGATTTATTACAACAATTATCATCTCCAATTAATTCATAAAGTAAAAACATTCAAGAGCATCAACGGAGACGGATTCAGAAATTAAAATTTATTCGTTCCTACCTAGAATTAATATATACATAATAATGATTGGTTTACATACAAATATTTCTATATATTTACTGGATTTTTAATATCAATATAGAGTTAAAAGGCTAGATTTGCGAATATATTTCAATTTATGTGACATTATTTCCTTATTAATCAATTAAAAAAAGAACGACATATATTTAAAAATAATGAACTTTAAATTCCTGATCTTACTTTTAATGAGAAGCGTTATAGTTACATGATATGTTTAAGATCATAAGTATCAAAATTATAAGCATGTTTAAGATTACGTCTCCATAATTTTTAAAAGCTTTTTATTTTTCATAAATTACGTGTCATTTTTAACTATTTCACGTAAACTGAACTGAATAGAATATTTAAAAGGAGCTCGATAATTAAAGTTGGCATAAGATACATACCAGATCATTGTTCCTCCCAACTGCACATTTGATATAAGAAATAAATAATTAGATTTAAAAATTAATAAACAAATTTATGTTAATTAATTAATTGAACAAAATTTAGAAAAACTAACGTGAGGAAGACTTCAAAGCACCACTTCCTTTCTCCTTGAGGAGTTGCTCAAAATGTGGCTTGCAAAATAATGTCCCATCCAAGCAAGAATAGTTGCTCAACTATATTATATAAATTCGAACGAAAAAATCAAATAAAAATATACGATACTAACAGTATGATGCACAAAGTATTTTTCAATCACATCAGGTTGAAGGGGAGGGTTACATCATAAAGGGGTGTTATTGATTACCTAGCGATACATTTTGTTTAGATAATTTCTATTCGAGTCGATCAATTCGATTTGTTAAAAAACGAATCTTCAAAAACAATCATAAAATAAAGGAGATAATGTCTTAACTAAATATAATACAAGGTATCATTTCATTCATCATATCAGCCAAATTGATCCAATTCGTTCAAAAATGAGTCTACAAAAAATAATAATCATGAAATAAGGAAGATAATGTACTAACTAACTATAACACAAACTATCATTTCATCTATCATATCAATCGAGTCGATCAATCCAATTCGTTTATAAAACAAGTCTTCTAAAAAATATAAAATAAAAGAGATAATTTCCTAACTAACTATAACAAAAACTATCATATTAGTCGAATTAATCGATAGTCTTCAAAAAATTCATAAAATAACAGGAGATAATGTCCTAACTAACTATAACATAAAAATTACCATTCCATCTCTCATATCAATCTAATCGATCGATCGATCCGATTCGTTTAAAAGCAAGACCTTAATGTCCTAACTAACTAAAACACAAACTATCATTTCATTCATCATATCAGTCGAATCGATCGATCAAATTTGTTCAAAAAATTAATGAAATAATTTTTAAAAAAAACTTACAGCAAGTCTTCCATTGCAATGGCTACATCTGAAACAAGTATTATGATAATTAACACCACCAGCAGAAATCACTTCTGCAGCATACACAGTTTTATCACATGCTTTGCATTTTGTTTGGGTTCCAAAACTTGACATTTTGTTTAAATTTTTTTTATTAGTTTATTTTGAAATTTCAATTTTGGGAATTGAGATTTGAGATCATTAATATAATTTACATATGAATGAATCTCTAATCCCCAAAGTTATAATGGAAAAAAAAAGTCCATAGAATTAATTATGTACTAATGAAAATTAGTTGATTTATTCTTCTTTTTTAGTGGCTAGGAACCAATTTCTTAAAATGAATGGATAAGCAAAAATTTCCCTAACATTAAGGACATAACACAAAAATTAAGGTAGTTATTTCAGTTGAGACAAAAAAAAGTGAATTTTATTTTAAAAAATTAAAAAATGGAAAATTTTAATAAATTGTGAAGTATAAAACAAAGAATTATATAAGTAGATTTTATCATAAAATTGCATTTTTTTCGCCCTTTAAATAGACTGATTTTAAATTTTTGTCATTCAACAATTGAATTTGTGGTTAAGGAGACATAAGTTCTTTAGAAATTAAAGTCATATATGAGCATTATTTGTGGAATATTATCATATAAAAATATAAGTTCGTACTATGTGACAAAATTATTTAATATAAGGGACGACATAAATTAAAGACCAACATAAAATAGGGGCAAAAGTGCAAATGATCCCCGATTTTATCATTGGCCTTTCTATGTTGGACCTAAAAAGATATTCGTATTTTAGAACCACCTTCTCTAGAGTCTTCTACTAAAAAAAAGAAAAAGAAACTTAATAACGAAAAACTTTAAAATTGAATCAAACCAATCGATAAACAACATTCAACAGAATCAACCTACAATATAGTAGTATAACATTCAAGGTTGAGATTTGCCTCTAGGGTTAAAAATATAATTTTCATTAAGTTTATATGGGTCATCGGTTTAAT